CCTCGCACGGAAGCGCCGCCGGGAGGAGTACTGCCAAGCTGTATCTGTACAGGATGAGGAGAGGTAGAAATTGTATTTGTGCAGTATCTGTACGGATTGAGGAGGAAGTCAAATTACTAGAGTACCTATTATTTTTAAATAATATCTAAAAATCATCTAAAAATTTATAGGTATGGTCTCATATGTTTGGTACTAGCCTTAGCCCCGCGTGTTTTGGTATTTGCCAGTACTTTTTTTTCTTGGTACTTCCTATTTTTTAACCGTTCGATCTAAATTGGTGGACAGTCCACACTTTTTATAACCACCGTACAACTTGTGTACCTATAATTCTATATATCATATTTTTTTCCCGTGAAGTTTCTTGGTACCCGCATATAGTTTCGATTAGCATTTTTTCTCAAATGAGTTTATGCAACATCACATAGGTTCAGTTAAGGAATATGACTAGGGTTTTAACTTAATTTTATTCCAAACAAATACGATCATTCAGGTTTTTGAATAAAGCTTGCATGGTGAGGACCCGTCCAGGCAACAGCACAAACAACGACGGTCACGACAGCACGAGCTCAAGAAGCACCTGCACAGTGGAGCAAGTAGAGAACCTCAAGTCTGCTCTGAGCGTCATGCCCATGTGGTCAGCCATGGTGATGTCGTTCCTGCTGCAGAGCTCCTCGTTCGGGGTTCTGCAAGCAGCCACCATGGACCGTCGTATCGGTACCACGAGATTTCAGATACCAGCGGGCTCAATTTCTATCTTCGAGATCCTGACCTTCACGGTGTGGTCAGGCTGCTACGACTCCTACATCCTCCCGGTCCTCCGGAGGATCACTGGGCGGCAGCGCGTGCTCACGCTCAAGCAACGCATGGGCATCGGCGTGTTCCTGGCCGTCGCCTCCATGGCGGTGGCATCGGCGGTGGAGACTCGTAGGAGGGAGGCCGCGGCGAGGCATGGAACCCCGCCCCTGTCTGCCCTGTGGCTGGCGCCCCAGTACGTCCTCATGGGGCTGTCGGGCGCGTTCGGCGCCATCGCGCAGATCGAGTTCTACTATGCAGTGCTCCCCAAGTCCATGGGCAGTTTCGCGCTGGCGCTGCTTTTCTTCGGAGGCGGCGTTGCGAGCATCATGTCGACCACGATCGTCAAGCTCGTGAACGTGGTCACCAGCAAGGGTGGAGGTGCGCCTTGGATTTCTGACGACCTGAACCAGGGCCGATACGACTGCTACTATGGACTGCTCGCGGTTCTTGGTGCCGTCGACCTGGTCTACCTAGTCATTTGCGCTAATGTTTTCCATGAGTCGACGCAAAACATGACACTGGAAACTGGTGCTGATGGTGAAGCCGAAGAGTTTCGAGGCTAGCTCATGCAAGTGTTTGTTTCACATGTTGGTATGTCGGGCTGCAGCTAAAAGCATTTTAGCAATATATCTTCCCTGTTGTGACCAATAGGTCAGATTCATATATATTGGAAATAAGGATCCTTGATTCCTTATAAATAACCTGGTGTTATTAGATAAAGAAGAACCAACTTTATGGCATTCCGATCAAAGATCCAACACCAGAACACATACATAAGAACGGAAGCCGAGTACATTCAGTAGAGGCACCAACGCCAGATACTACACAAGTTATATACATTCTGTACGCGACTATTTCTATATGTGCCATCCATATACTAAGCATGTAGCATCACACCTCAATCCTCATATGTCATATATATATATATATATATATATTACTCTGTAGCTGGCTACAAACTAACTTATTCTATAGCCACACACACTATTAATTAATAAGTTTAACCTTGGGGGTACAAAGAAGCCAAGCAGCAGTGAGTCAGTTGGGTATAAGCTTGAAGCGAGGCTTGGAAAACGCCGGAGTCGGATCGTAGCGCCCATAATCATTTGTCTTGACCATATCTCCTGAAGCCGTTGCTCCCTTTTCAGAAGCAGCAGTGGAATGCTCCTGGATTAGACAAAATGAATATAATTTTTCTCTATTCGAAGAAGAGTCCCCTTGAGTTTGGAAGATCGTTCTCAAACTTAATAATAATGGATTCGTAGATCAATATAAGCTATCAGGAAATTCCATGACAGAACTCTGCTATTCTCCGGTCTACTACATACCTTATGATCCTTTTCATCCGCCAACTGCCTTCCTCCTGCAAAAGCAAATTATAGAAGACTATAATGAATCAAATCATTCACTTTTGCATGCCTGAAAAAAATGTTACATACTTCCGATAGTACATGTTGATTATATTTTGAATTTAAAGGAAAATAAGAAATGTATAGGAAATAAAGATAACAATCGATTGAACAGGGAAATCAACCTGCGGTGCATACCGATCGAAAGCGCAGGCAAAACAATAAGCAGAAGAACAAGTACCAAAACCCTGTTTGCTTTCTTGGAACTCATCTTGTTCCTTGTCCCCCTCTAATCCTTTTGGTCCTTGAGCACTGCATCAGAACAGTGTATATCCAGATTTATATAGCTCAGCTGTGCCCCACTGTCCAATCATAGGATTATTGGCGCGCCCGAATTGTCCATATAATAACAGAAAGCAAAAGGTAAGGTGGAGATAATGCTGAGCACTTTGCCTTCATGGTTTCTGAGTGTGCAGTCAGTTGCTAGTGCGGTGCTAACATGCTAACTCCCTCGAGGCCTCCAGAAAAGCAAAAGGAACAATGCGTTAGTGGAGCGCCTGATTGCTCCGTTTCTTTAAGCTGGTGTATCCCTTCTCTACCGCTGGAGGAAGGGACATGGAGGAGGCCACTTAAGGCTATATACGCAAGCACCGTGGAAAAGGGTGTGCCAAAAAATGCACTGTGGTTTCCGAGTCATTGAGCAGGATCAGTTATTAATCACACTTCATTGCGTTCTCGTGTCAAAAGGCTGGACCGAGTCTCATGCACTAGCCAGGCCCCATTGGGAACAGAGAACTGCGTTTTTCATGTGAAATTGAAATGATTTCTATGAAATTTCTATACGGCTCTATCATTCCTGCGTTCCAAACAGGCCTCTAGTTTGTGCCTAATAAAGATGGAATCAGATCGAACACGCATGAAATCAGATTCGGATACCATCTTTTACCATATTTTAATTCGAACTCGGATACGAAATCACTGCTATAGAAATGATTTTCAGCAACGGAGCCATTTTTAGGCAGAGCCGGCTCAATCAGTAGCAGCCTCTATAATGGACGGCAAAACAAGCCACCTCTGAAGATGCATTTATAAAGGTGGCTTCAAAGCCAGCCACCTCTACAAATAAATCTTCATACGCGGCTAGTATTCTCAGCTGTCTTTGAAAAACGCACCATTTTCATAGGTGGTTGGTAATAACGACCGTCTAAAGATACATTTGTAGAGACGACTGTATAATGCTCTACGGTATAAGTAGCAGCTCCCCTTCTTCCTCGTCGAGAAAAATATTGCAATCCGAAGAGGAAGGAAGGTGGGCCTCAGGCTACCTCCCAAAAATTGTAAATCTAAGGGCATAAGGTTTTGCTTTTGATTTCTTTGGTGGAGGAGACGCGGAAGGGAATGCGAGCGTGCGCTCCCTTCTATTATGTGGGTGGGGATAGCGCTTTCATTCCGTTCTATTACGCGGACGAGCTGAGATAGGATGGTTCCTGTAGGTGGAATGGATGGTTGGGAGCTGTGTCCAGATGCGTCCTGGGACTAGATGTCTGGACGCTAGCTGCGCTGTAAAATAAATTATAGATTTAGAATTTTGTAGAAGGGATAGATATGCATCATTATAGAAAGGTTTTGTTCGAGATGAGATAAAGAAAATAGTTTAGAGACGACAAAAAATTTCGAAGGGTTTTTCTTTTGAAGTTTGTCAATCAAAATTAGCTAACTTAAGTCATGAGTATAAATGAAATTTGTTTTTCCTTTTTTTTAAGAAAATTAATGCAAGACATAATCGAATTTCTATCTATTTGCATTATAGATAGAAATTCGAATCATTTTCTCGAGCCATACGAGGAGAAAACCTCCTATATGTTTCTAGGGGGTTGTTTATCTACCTCTATCCCAATAAGCTATCTATCGAATCGATGTAATTGATGTTCGATCTCGAAGAGGAGGAAGAGATCTCGAAAAACAACCAATATCTTTGCTAGTCTATGCTAAAAACAAAACAGCATAAAAATGAGATATTTCCAATTAAAGACAGGATACCGAAAATACGGACAGGATACAACCTCAACCGTTTTCGGTCCTGCACCTGATGAATCCCGTCCTGGTTACCGTACGTTTCCGGAAAAACAAAAAGTCAGGATGAGCGTGACTGTACGGCCGTCTGTTTTCATCCCTAGAGGATGTTTTGATGCCTAGCTACATCCTCGTGGAACATCCCAGAAGGCTACATAGACTCGCTCGTCCCAGATATGAACAAATACAGACGGTTAAAACTGTTTTCGGTCCCGCAACCGTATTTTTCGTTTCAGGGAAAACAAAAATAGAGATGAGCGCGACTGTACGCGATCACCTCTGAGGCTGCTAACACAAACTTTTGGTGGAACAAGACAAACTCCAGAGCATCCTAAACTCCCATATATTTTAAATGCTTCACATGAATCCATATGTTATATATATTATCATTTTTAAATTTATATAAATTATTTGATACCATTACTGCATTATCTACCTTATCAACTTTATACGATCGTAAAATCCCAAAACTAGCATGTGTAAAGCAGACTTGCCAAATATAAGCTCAATGTCACATCACGCCAGAACGGGGAGATCATAGTCACTGTCATACAAACGAGTCTCATGTATCTCATAGTTCACATGCAACTATTACATCTACGGCAAAAATTTAATTCATATTGCGGCTAACTCTTTTCAGCTCAAAGACAAGTACAAATGGACAGGGACACAGATTCTGAGACTTCGCCAGAGCTAAATTCACAGATAAACAGGGTAGATGGATATATTATTAAAAACATTCTTCACCCAAAACCTCGCTTCTCCTGCTTCCCATTTGGATGCTCAGCGGTTGGCCTTTGCGACACGCTCAATCTCGTCCTTCTTCTTGATGGCGTAGCTGCGAGGCAAAAAAAAAGAGAAAAAGTGTCATGTCATGTTTAACAAAGCATTAAATAGTGTACGACATAAAATTAGGACCAATTCAACAACCATGGCAAGCTGGGGCAACAAAGAACACAGGAAAGATGGGGATTAGGAACTCTGTGCTTCTGTGCTAGTGGCAGCAATACGGCCAGGTAATAGAGCACACAAGGTTTGGTGAAAGAACCATGGGATTCATTCAAATAAATCAAGGAGAGGTGAAAAGACTTGCCTCATTAATACTTGTGAAAATGGAATGCATGCTACAGTAACATTTACAGGTTATGTCACACTGAAGGATACCGATATAAGATGAGAATAAATCATACTCCCTCCATCACAAAATGCTTACGTTGTACGATTTTAGGACAAATTAGTTATCAATGCAAAGTTACCCATGTACCCCTATTTAATTAATTGAAGGTGATCCACGCTAATTTAAAGGCATGCAAAGCCTAGGGGTGAAAGTGAACGGGACAAATCCCATACCAACCATTTTTGTTCTTTATATTATGATACCGTTTTCGAATTTATCCAAACATAAAAAAAATTCATTTTCAATTGGTTTCACAACCATTTTTTTGTGCTCATTTATTACCAAAATGTAGAAAAAATCCTGTACCAACCGTTTTCTTTTTCTATATTGTAATACTGTTTTTACTGTTTCCGACCGTTTTCACCCCTATGCAAGCCGACCATTTTCACCTCTATGCACGCCGCAGTCTCAGGCTGATATGGGCCCAACCTAGGTTTTCTGGAACAAATATTGAATCTTAATAAAGTATCAGATTTTCTGGGACAGGGAGGACCTGTTAGAAGAACCTTTAGCTGCATTGATAAGCTCATCGGCAAGGCACTCTGCAATGGTCTTGATGTTCCTGAAAGCACTTTCCCTAGCACCGGTGGTAAGAAGGTAGATTGCCTGGTTCACACGCCTCAAAGGAGATATATCAACTGCCTGCCTTCTAACAACACCAGCAGATCCAATACGAGTTGCATCTTCCCTTGGACCACTAAATTAGACAAAAATATTACCCCATTAGAGACAACAAAAGCCAAAAATACAGATGCTAAGCTGCATAATAGCAAACAAAAGTATCAGCAAGGTATCCATTCGTTGCCAATTGGGCAGATTCGGTCATTGGGTGACAAGATAAGTGCAACATGTGTTGTTGGCAAAATGACAGGAGAATCATAGGCATTCATTCAGTCTCATTAGATAATGCCATAAAACTAATGAAAGTCTATGCATGTAGAGATACTTTAAGCAAAATGATAGAAGGATGACAAGGCAGTTAGTCTCATAGACAATGCCATAAAACCAATGAAGTGTATGCAAGTGGACACATTAGTTTTCCTTTCCCAAAAGATCATTAATCATCCAATTGCATACATGCCATGATCCTGATTTGTGTCACATAATAATATGATCAGAAATTACAACAATATACATAACCTATGGCAGAGAACATTTCAGGTGCTCACATGCTCCAGTTAAAAAGGCATGGAAATGTGTGCGAAAGTTTCCACCAACAATATGATGCAAAGATTTGAGATGGCAACAAAAATATGTGCAATAAGAAAAAAGTGAAATCAGCACTTATAGTTGGGGGTTGTACTGTTCATGTCTGATCCGCAACCCACAACTATTCCAGTGCTGATAGACCTTCATCTTCTATATCCAATATCCATTCATATTTTTGGTCAAAATTTTGTTGCATATTTTGATGCCTTTTCTCAATATAAGAGAACAGGACTTCAAGGTGCAGTGGCACTGGAGACATTCTCCCCAACAGTAATATGGAGAAGTAACGTGATTGATAAAAACATTAAACTCCTAAGATTAAACAAGAGCAATAAATAAAACCATGTTACCGGGAAATACGAATAGCTGATATTAAAGAGAACACTCTATTTAGAATAGTTACCTGTTTATGATGGCATCAACAATAATTTGGATAGGGTTTGCATCAGTTAGCAGGTGAATAATCTCCATAGCATGCTTCACAATGCGAACAGCCATGACCTTCTTGCCATTGTTGCGACCGTGCATCATCAGAGAGTTTGTCAGCCTCTCAACAATTGGGCACTGAGACTTGCGGAACCTCTTAGCCGAATACCTTCCAGCAGTGTGGGGAAGATAAATGGCATGCTTTGTAGGGTTGACAGCAAGGTAATCAGCCAGTGAAATATCATTGACCTGCACAAAAATATTCAAAAAGAATAGTTTAAAAATCATAAACTAAATGTACCACATCTAGTAGGTAGCAAGGGCAGCTTAAAATAAAAGGTTTAATGGGAACAAGCGCTAGTAAAGAAACAGTGTAGCATTTCAACCATACTAGATTCACTGGAAACCAGAAATAAATACCCAATAACATATTTGAAACCTTCAGCACAAACTAGTTGGTAAGAATAGTTGCAATGATTGAAGACAATGTAGCAGGATACAAGGACAACAACCTTCAGTATAATTTTTAACTCCTATGTATTTCAAAACTATAGCAATAGTTAGTATACAGTAATAATAAAACAGCTTTATCTATATTTTCTAGACCAAAGTATAGCAACAGTTAGTAACTAGGTATACAGTAATAATAAGATAGCTTTATCTATATTTTCTAGACCATTGAAACTAAGTACAATGGTGATATACTCAAGATAGACCAATACGCCCAGATTAATAAATAATACCCTGGTCAAAAAACGTGTTTAAGAAAATATTTGGTCAAACCTTAATAAAAACTACAAACATCAATAACTTTTAAATCTTATAGTTTGGAGATATAATAAGTGTAATAATGTGTAAATTTATATTGGAACACTTGTAAAATCTCAATCTAAAAAATTTAAAGTTTTAAGAATACATCCTACTCCCTCCATCTCACAAAGAATGTAATTCTCATCTTGAGATGACAATCGAGTGAACTGAAATCATGCATGTACCCCTATTCTTTTTATTCTCCTCATGTGTTGATTGGAACAAGGCAAATGATTCCATATACAAACTTTATACTTCATTGCCATCATACATTATGACACTTCTTTTTAGGGCCTCATAAGCTAGTCCTAAGTTAGATTTGCATTCTTTTTGGGACAATATTTGATGCTAGAATTGCAGATGGAGTATAAGATATTAGCAGTCAGATATGTACATCACTGACCGTGCAAAGTCAAATGTGATCAGAGATAGGAATTATAGTCCAGTGTCCACAAACCTATTTTTTCCCTGAGTTATTCTTAAGCCTAACAAAGAAAATCACCATATATAAAAACACAAATACAATCAATCATCTAAACATCAAGCCTTCTTCACCAATAATACCAGTATATCCACTATTTAATCATCAAATCGTATTATCAATTACAGCCAATACGTAACATCTAACCCACCAGAACTAACGAACCAGCTCATTTGGCACCGCAATACTTAATCTGCATCGCCTCAGCATATAAGCTAAAACGATGAGACGAGGATGGGGGAGGGGGGAAGGTATGGAGAAGATGGCGTACCTTGACGTCCTCGAAGTATCAGCGGCCGAACAGCCTAAGAAAATCACTTCTAACCCACCAGATCTAACAAACTAGCTCGCTTGGCACCGCAATACTCAAAAGCCAAATCGCCGCAGCATGAGAGATAAAACGATGAGACGAGGGTGGGTGAGGGAGAAAGTGGAGGGATGGAAATGATGGGGTACCTGTACGTCCTCGAAAGACCAGCGACCGAAGAGCTTGACCTCCTGCGTCGGAGCCTCAACTTCCGCCATGAGTGCAGTGAGAAGAAAAGCGGAGGAGGGCGCGCGCGAGAACGAAGATAGGAAACGCGCGTGACGGCGGCGAGGAGTAAACCCTAATAGGAGCACGACGCTTATATAAATAAGAATTCGTGAGGAGCTTTGAGATTCGGGAAAATGCTGACGTTCAACGTTATCACCTGAAGTGGAAAACTGTGTTGGTTTTCTCGTGAAGAGAGCAACTCTAGTAGACCCCACTTAAAAGATGGTTTACCTAAAAAAATTCTACTAGGGCCGATTCTTCCTATTCTTCTCTTTGAACTCATATTCCTTGTAACACACGTAGCAAACCACGGTACCTCCCTTATCAAGCTTCTTTACTTCTTTGATGATGTTATCTTGATGAGGTTGAGCTTGTTTCGTCCTGCCTTTCACTTAAATCAAGTCCTTGGTGAGGTCTTTGGTGAGGCAAGTCACTTCTTGCTTAAGTTCTCCATTATGACTTATGTACATGTATCTACAATTACATTCTTAAAACAACTTGGTCGCAAAGGGGTGAGTCTAATTTAAATAAACTATCGCAAGAAGTAGAGGCATCCTTTCTAGACATATCCAAGATTGAGCTTTTCATTTTACGTGCCTCGATGGGGTTGTACTGATGGCTTCAAGATTAGTAACATTATTAGTTAACTCATCACAATGTTTGCTAAGAAATTTTTATTTTAGTAAGCAAACTTCTATAAGCTTCATGTGAACTAGCTAACTTAGCTTTTAATTTATCATTTTTTCTTCATTAGTTGCCCATCGATTATTGTGCTTTCTTTGTGTTTGTATTAGCTTCAAATTGCTTAATTTTAGTAGATAGCTCTACATTAAAATTGGTAAAAGCTTCATATTATTCAAGCAACACATTATAAGCTTGTTGTAAGCTATCTACATTTGCTTTTAAATCTTTTTATTTTCTTTTGTTGGCTAGTACAAAGCTTAGCAAATTTAAGATTATTTTGCACAATTTTATCATAAGAAGGTAGCTCATCATCACCATCACTATCACTAGATCTAGAACTTTCGTTACCTCATGTCGTAAGGCACATGCGTGAAGACTGAAGAGTGTGATGATGAGTGCTTGTGGTCACGCCTCTTATTTTGGACTTCATCTCCACTCGATGAATCATCCCAAGTCTTGATTGTTGTGAGAGCTTGGCCTTTAGCATTTCTTGTCTTTTTCTTTGCCTTGGGTGTGGGTTTGTTTGGACAATCTTCCATAAAGTGTGTCTTCTTGCCGTATTCATAGCAACCTTTCTTTCTCTGTTCTTTTCTTTGGTTGGTGAAAAGGCAATTTTCAATTTGGATGGGCACACCCTTGAGGACATCAATGTGCTTTGTTCTTGCATGTTGAACCAGGTTATTGGTGAGCTTGATAGCACTCTTATTGTCACATAGCAACGGCATTTGTTTGAACTTGATTCTAAAATCATTCAAAGTGGCCTTCATCCAAATAATTTGTGCACAACAACTACCGGCGGATATGTATTTAGCTTTGACGGTTGAAAGTGCCACACTATTTTGTTTCTTTTATGACCAAGATACAAGTGACATTTTCAACAATTGACATGTGCTCGATGTGCTCTTTCTCTCTACCTTGCATCCCGCATAATCCAAGTTGGAATAACCAACTAGCTCAAACTTAGCTCCTTTGAGATACCACAAACCAACATTTTGTATATGCATTAAGTACCCTAATATTCTCTTTAATGCATTCAAATGACTTTCTCTTGGTAAGGCTTGAAAAATCTTGCACACATGCATACACTAAACATGATATCTGGTCTTGATGCAATCACATAGAGTAGGCTTCCAATCATAGACTGATATAACTTGTGATCCACCATGTTGCCACTTGCATCATTCACTACTACACTCGCACCTTTCACACCCGCGTCGTAACCCACATCGCAGTCCAATTTCGGTCTCAGTAGTAAGCTGTCGGCAGTGATACTCATAGCCATCACCATCGGTATCGGGGACCGACTGGGGTGTACACTACACCGCCGTATTGGCTTATCATCCGTTCATGATAAGGTCTTTACTTCCATCGCATTGGAGCATGACCCGCGTGTGTGGGTTTGCACTAACACCGTCGCATGGCTTATGATCCGTCCGTAATCAGATCCTTATTTCAACGCATTGGAGCGTGACCTGCCTGTGTTGAGGCGAACATCACCATCGCTTCAATGTATGAACTGTCTGGTCATAGGGCATAGTCACCGTCGCGTTGCAGTATGATCCGCCTGTGATGATCCTTTAGTCGGTGTTGGGTTACTAAACAATTCGGCGATGGTGCACTATTGACCCCTGCCGCATCAGACGAATAGCGGTTGATGAGTACAGGCCCGATCTTCCGAGAGGTAGCCGGTAAGTTCGATTTGTGGAGATCTCGACGTTGGCGATCCGGCTTCAAATCAGACGCGATTCGAACCCTGCAACCGTTACACCACTGCTCCGTTGGTTATCAACCAAGCACAACTTGATTGACCTCGCCAAGAAGGCTTTTCCTGCAAGCGAATCGAAGAGCACAAGCAAGAAGGTAAAACACGCAATCTGATATTGCAAATATGAATGACGCGAATATCAATAGAGGGTTCTAGAACTCGGTTCCAAAGGACTAATCGACACAGTGGAGGAGATCAAGAACGGGGGCCCTGGATCACTGTAAAAGGATTTGTCACCACAGTTATAATGAACGATTCAGTTTCTCGATGGAAAACTAAACTCTAAGCAAAACCCAATTGTGTAGCAGCGGCGACGGCTGTGTTTATAGTCTAAGACTCGACCTAGGGTTGGGGACGGCCAGGGGTTGGGCGCCCACAACTTGGGCTTAAGGCCCGACACGATACATGGCCAAGTTGGCCCAAATAGGTGACGCAACACCTTGCCGTGGTCACACAGAATGATCCACAGATCTTCTGGAGCTGGGACCAGATCCAAAACGACGGCGTCGTCGTCCCCTTTCCAACGCATCCAAGAACGGCCCGTTTCGATGTCATATGAGAAAGTTATGACCGAAACAGTGACGACGTGTCTGCTGAATCCGAGGGCGACGTGGCAGCTGAGTTGGGAACGAATTGCAACTTGGGGAAGACCATGGCGTCGATGTGTCTAGCATGACGATGTCCTCATCATCCTCCCCTTCTCGAATTGGAGTCGTCCTCGACTCCATCTTGGCGATGTCCTCATCAGCGGTGGTGATGGCCATCTGCTTCACCAAAGGCGAGTGGTACGACGGTGATGACAAAACAACCAATGGCCCTTACATCCGACGGTGATAGAATTGCATCTGGTTTTCACAAAAGTATTTATTAAATTCAGCTAGGCCTTAATAACTTACTGAACACACACCATACAAACATAATCATTACACATCATTCATCATGTCCACAACGAAGAGTACTTGTTATAATAACAATGCTCGACACTAACATAACAACTGTGTCAACTGATGAATTAACACAAGCGGTACATAGATAGCATAATAAAGGTTCTGCTCCCTATAGACTTACATAACTAAAACAAGGTAGATATGGTCTGCTCTTTCAGATTGACACTCCTTGATCAGCTTGGCAGGCAATGCAGCATGGAACCCCTCTTCTTCCTCCCATAGCCATTGCAGAAAAATCATTCAAAAGCATAGAGACTCCAAAACCTGCACAATGCAAAGCAGTAGAATTAATAATATTTAATATACCATTGGTTTAGTTAGCAAGCCAAAATTAAACTATATATAGACTCAAAACAACTCCGCACCTAAACAAAGACATGTCCTAACAACAAAATACAGCATATTGAAAGCCCTAGTTTGGTTTTAGAAAGTTGATGAAACCTAGTACTAACCTTTGTCATGAGTTGTGATATGAGCTAGGTTAGTGCAATCCAAGTGTTAGAGTAAGATGAGGTCCATGGTGATGAAGGTGGACATGAAATGATGATGATCAAGCTCAACTTGGAAAAGAAGAAAGAGAAAAATAAAAACCGAGAAAATCAAGGCAAAGGCATATGATAGGTTTTTGTTTTGGCACTTAAGACACCATAAAGGGTGTATGTGCACTTAGGATCGATAGCCGTACTATAAAGTGAGGAAATCTTTGGCTAAACGGTTTATCAAGTGCCACTAGGTGACATAATTCTTGCATATGCATTTAGAAACCTAGTGTGCTAGCCTTGACCCTTGTAAAATACTTTAAAAAATGCTAACACACGTGCACACAAGTTCTACACTTTGTGGTTAGCAAGTTGGAAGTAAGGGTGAAGTGGTTGTGGACTTAGAAAAAGAGAAGGGGAGGAAGTCCATGACTGGATGCTGTGAAAGGTCCTAATAGCTAGAGGGGGGTGAATAGCCTAATAAAAATTTCTACAACAACACTTAACAAACTGGTTAGACAATTATGAGGCGAAGCAAGTATTGCGCTAGCCTACTAAAAATGCAAGCCACCTACCACAATTCTAGTTTATATAGTTTCTATCTATACAATAGCTATGTCACTACACTAAGTTAATGTGCTCTTAAAAGCTAATTAAAGAGCCACACTAACCAAACTAACAAACTCTCACAACTAGCTACACTAAAGAGCTTGACAACTAGTTTGCGGTAATGTAAAGAGAGTGAGCAAGAAGGTTATATCGCCGTGTAGAGGAAGGAGCGAATCAATCATAAGAATGAATAACAATGAGGACAAATCACCTCGGAAACAAATGATGAACACAATGATTTTTTACCGAGGTTCACTTGCTTACCGGCAAGCTACTCCTCGTTGTGGCGATTCACTCACTTGGAGGTTCATGCGCTAATTGGCATCACACGCCAAAACTCTCAATAGGGTGCCGCACAACCAACACAAGATGAGGATCACACAAGCCACGGGCAATTTACTAGAGTACCTTTTTGGCTCTCCGCCGGGGAAAGGTTAATAACCCCTCACAATCACCACGATCGGAGCCGGAGACAATCACCACCCTCCGCTCGACGATCCTCGCTG